AGCCGCGCTACTGGAGCAACCCAGCAGCACCCCAGCTGCTCTGCCCCAGGCGTCCCCAAGTCAGCCGCTGATCAGTTTCAGCAGCAGCTGACTTGGGGACGCCTGGGTTTCTTAAGTTGAATCTGTATGTAAGTCAGAACTGGTGTCCAGATTCAGCCGCGGTTGAAACTGATCAGTTTCAGCAGCGGCTGACGCCAGTTCCGACTTACATACAGATTCAACTTAAGAACAAACCTACAGTCCCTATCTTGTACGTAACCCGGGGACTGCCTGTATTCACATTCTATGAATGTGCATGTTTAAAACATGTTAGGTCCTTAATTATGGTGTAGCTTATGTAGCAGAATCTGATTTCTTTTTAAACCAGCATAAAAACAGACTGAGAACAGACTCCGGTCCTGTGTTTGTAGTTTTGAACTACAAAAGGCTTTAGTTTTTAGGCTGTGAATTCTACACTACATAAAATATAACCCTTGATTTTGTACAAACAGCTAATAATAAATGTCAAAAATAGAGCTGCTCGGAAAGCACAATTTTTTTTCTTTGGAATTAAAATTTTTGGACAAAAAATGGCATTTGAAATCCTGAATTTCATTTTTTAAAATGGGCTGTAATCAATAATATTGAATAATAACACTAACTTCATATTTTAGTGTGTCATACTCGTGACATTCAAAAGTACAAATGGATAGTGATGTAGGCATATGTGTATCACTTTTAAAAAATAGTCTGCCTAAAGGCATTTTTGTCTAATAAAATTATATTTAGCTTTCATGGCATAAAGGGCACTGAAAATCAGTTTTTAGGAAAGTGAATGAAATATTGTTCCTTCATATTCACTGCAAAGAAGCCAGGAATTATGGTAGCTTAATAAAGAACTTTTTTCAAAAGAAAAAACAGACAAAAATATTTTTTTAAAAAACTTATACAAAAATTGTGCTAAAGTCTTTGAAAGAGGTTAATCTTTTACTAGTTTGAGTAAAGTTGCAAAATATTTCATGGACGCCGTAAAACTTGCGTGGGGTTCATTTAGAGAATGAGACTAAAGTATTAATAGCTACAAATATTATTTGCCTTTTGCAGTAAATAGGAAGATTTAGCTTTCACAATATTTTGTGGCCTCAGGAAAGGCATTGTTATACTTCAGAAATATTTGCTGAGGTGGCTGCTAAGAACAAAAATACAATACATACAATTACACGCTTTTTATTTGTTTTTGTTTTCAAACTAAAAGCATGTGTCCTGGGGTAAAGCAGTTAAAAAGACAAATCTAAACTAGAGCTTGCAACATCTGGGGGTTGTAATGGGAGCAAGTAATCTTTTTGTAAAAAGCTTGATTAAGTGCATGCAAAGTAAGTTCATATATTTAATTCTTACCTTGCCATAGTCATGAGATACCCATTGCAAAAGTGTGGTATGTATGGAAACACTGCTGAAGTTTTGTGTTAACCAGGAAAGTACTAAGTCTAGGGTGTTATCAGTAAGATTTCCAGCAACTGCAGAATTTCTAAATTTCAAAGTTAAATAGGGAAGTTCATTACTTTTGTACCAAAAGAAAAAATGCAGTTGGCAGTGTAAGAATTAATGAAATGTCATTTGTTTAAAATGTTTTTATTTTACAAGAAACTTATATTCCTAATAATTCTGCCAGGTTCTGGATTGGGTGTTTTACCCTTTGCCATTAGTCCTGTAGTGTCTACTGATAGTATAAATTGTGAACCAGGTATTATTATTTTTAATAATGTATTTCTTTTTTATATAACATAATCATTATTTGTAGGGATATGTTTATATTTGACTCCCAATGTAATGTAACCAATCATACTGGTATTGGACCTGATCTTGAGAGTTAATTATCCTCTGAAGTCTTTCATAGAGCAGAAATCCTCTGTAGGATCCTATTGCTCCATGCGTCTCAGGATTAAGCCCATTAATTGTTGGAATGTGCTGTCAGGAGCAGATCCAGGTGCACTATGGAACTTTTAGTGGGCAGTAGTAAGATCCACATGGCAACTTGGTGCATAATGGGTGAAGAAGCACTGTAGACTTACATCCCCTGCTTGATGTGCACTAAACCACTGGTTAGACAAGCCCTTGCACAGCAACATGTATTGTGGCAAAAGAGTACTATGTGTAGTATACCAGGCAACCCAATCCTTCTTGTGCATAGCATTAATCAGAGGCTAGCATGACATCTATCTCCTGAGGCCAGATGATTCATGCATACAAGATACCCACTTCAGCTGTGGCCACTCCACATGCAGCACTAGGTTGCTTAGCATCTGCTGATCTTACAAAAGTGCTCACCAGCATGTGTTCTACCTTTCCTGTGGAGCAGGAAAGGGTTTGTGTTGAAAGAGAAGAGGTTGTTAGTCCCATTTGCTTTAGATGCTGAAGATGCAAAATGATTGTGGCAACGTGGTTATACAGTGACTTCTGATAAGATTCTGAAATTGTACAATATATACTGCTATTACAACTTGTGTTCTGGTGGCAGGTTTGTGTAACTTTTACATTTGTTTCAGTGGAAAAGTTTCACAAATTCATAACTGTAGAGAAATGTAATTTTTGCACAAACCTTTATGGGAATTTGCTATCCCCAGTACTATTAGCTTTGGTACTGGGAGTAGTATTTGGTACAAAGTCCCCCATATACATAAAGGAAGTTTGCATACCTCCTGCTAAGCCTCCAAAAGCCCTGTCAGACCTCACCTCAGTCAGTAACCCTGGACCCTTGTCTGAGTTCTGGATATTTAAAGCTTGTTTATCTTCTAATGGTAGCCAGTTCCAGTGTTCTAAGGTGCAAGAGTAATTTAATGTTAAATATTTAAAATATGTCAAACATTAAATTAAAATTAATTTCTATTTTTGTAAGTTCAGCCTTAGTATTAATAATGTTTGAAATACAGCATTTTGCCCTTTTCTATTTATGGGATTTGTCTTTACTTGTCTTTAGCTTTTTAAGATAACTATTAAATCACATTAACATGTCAACAGTTGTAGCCTCTTTATATGTTATATGGCTATGCTGATATCTAAATGTTTTCATATATGGTAGTTATAAAACAGATTTTTTTCTAGGAAATGTTTAGTAATATATAAGTGTTTTGTCACTGCCTAATGGATTAGATATGGAAATAATATTTACCATAATAATATAAGAATTAAATTATTACAGTTATTTGAATTTGCCTTCCATATTTTAAAGAATGAATAAAAAGAGCGAAATATATATTTAATAAATAAACATTTTCTATATTTTATCAGGCAGAAAGGAGGAAAGGATTTGCCAGAAAGTGACAGTCAGAACAACTATAAGAAAAAGTGACTGTATAAGTCAAAGGCCTGTAAGTATAGGAAACTGATGTTTTTGTGTTTGATAATGAGCATGAGTCATACTAATACAACAAGTATGGGGGAAAAAAGTGTATTGCAGACATCAGTATACAGCAAAAATGCTGCTATCCTCTCATCAGTGACCTCTCACTCTGGAAATGTTATTCTACTCATAAATGTGGGTAAACATTAATTACTTCTGCCCATACATGGCAGAAGTACTGAGCCCTTGTACCTGGAATAACATCTGACTCCAAATGAAAAGTACATAGTAAAATTGCTTATCACTAACAAAAGCACTGACCTCTCATCATGAAATAACATCCCTAATGAGGAGTTACTCAAAAAAGGGAGTATAAATGCTTCCACTTATAAATGATGAAAATATGTTCCTCCTTAAAGAGCTCTCTAATCTTTTCTCCCACATGACAAGTCTCTCTGTAATATATATAATACATTGATGATAGCCTTTATGGAAATCAGTTAATAAGGCATATTATTTCTCTGCTTTGGTGAAGTCTTAGCTATAAAACCTGTTATATACATGTATGCTTGTGTCAATAATAAAATGGAAAAAGGACACTGAGTGGACATAATTTAGTTAGCCTTTCAAAAAGCCTTTGACAAGGTCACATACAAGAGGCTATTAGAAAAGCTAAATAGTAATGGGGCAAGAAGCAAAGTATTGCCATGGCTTGAAATCTGGCTACTGGGATGGAGGTTGGGTACAGAAAAGCACTTGGGGTAGGGGATTGAAGTGCAGGGGAGGGTTTAGGACCTAGGAAGGTGTTTGGGTGAAGTAGGGGATTGTGACCTGGGGCAGGAAGGGGTGCAGAAGAGGATTTTGTCCTGGAGAAGGGTGTAGGAGAGGGTGCAGGATCTGGGAAGGGGTTATTACCTGGGCCAGGAGTGCAGGAGGAGGTGCAGAGATTTGGGGCAGCGGACTGGAGGGGTGGCATGGGTACAGGAGCAGGGGTGCAGAAGGTTTTGGTTACAATGGGTAGGACTGCAAAAGAGGGGACAGAGGTCTTGGGGGAGAGAGGGCTGGGGTGATACAGGCAGGCTGTAGCAAGAGGCTCTTAATTAGGTGGCTCCCTGCCACCAACCCAGGAGGTCCCTCAAGCAGGTTTCCTGCCTTCTATGCCCATGCTTGCCGCTCAGAGCTGCAGACTGTGGGGAGCCATGCAATGCCCTGAGCACTTAGGACTGCAAAAGAGGGGACAGAGGTCTTGGGGGAGAGAGGGCTGGGGTGATACAGGCAGGCTGTAGCAAGAGGCTCTTAATTAGGTGGCTCCCTGCCACCAACCCAGGAGGTCCCTCAAGCAGGTTTCCTGCCTTCTATGCCCATGCTTGCCGCTCAGAGCTGCAGACTGTGGGGAGCCATGCAATGCCCTGAGCACTGTGAGCCTGGGGGGGGGGGGGAAGGGATTTTGCATGCTTCCTGCCCTGAAAACAGGCAGCTCCCATTGCTGGTTTTTGGCCAATGGGATCTGTGAGATTGTATTGGGGGAAGGGCAACATATGAAGTGTCCACCCCTTCAAGCTCACAGTGGTGCTCAGAGGCAAATGGCTCCCCATAGTCTGCAACTCTGAATGGTGTGGGGGGGAGGCAGGTAGGTAGCCTGCCCTAGGCTCCCACTGGGCTGCGGGCCAGATCCAGTGGCATGGTGGGTTGAATTTGGCCCAAATAAAAATGGCCACCGCGTTGTGCCGGCCCAGCTGTTTGTCAGCACAAAGCGGCAGTCAACACAGGGATCGGTCGGCAAGGAGGTTTACAGGACCGGTCAGCAAGGAAAGTCTTTGCAGAGCTGTCCTGTAAACCTCCTTGCCAACTGATCCCTGTGTTGACTGCTAGCCTGCCCGAGGCTCCCACTGGGCTGCGGGCCAGATCCAGTGGCATGGTGGGTTGAATTTGGCCCAAATAAAAATGGCCACCGTGTTGTGCCGGCCCAGCTGTTTGTCAGCACAAAGCGGCAGTCAACACAGGGATCAGTTGGCAAGGAGGTTTACAGGACAGCTCTGCAAAGACTTTCCTTGCTGACCGGTCCTGTAAACCTCCTTGCCGACCGATCCCTGTGTTGACTGCCGCTTTGTGCCGACAAACAACTGAGCCGGCACAACACGGTGGCCATTTTTATTCTAATGAAGCGGGGGATATTTGAATCCCCGCTTCATTGACTATGTCGGTATGTCTAATTGACATGCCTCTGTAGGCAGAGACATGTAGTCTAGACATACCCATAGAAAGAGGAAGGAGAAAGCTATCACATTAGGGAGCTTCCACTGTTGATCTCATGGAGGAATACTTAAAAGACTGACTTTTCTATAGTTTGCTTAATCCATTACCAGTAAAGAATACAGCATTAGCTGAACAATAAAAAAGTTTAGTATATCCATGTATTTTAGGATTTAGTGATGTGCACTAGGACAAGTTTTTGAACTCAAACTACTTCTCAAAACTAAATAGCGGAGTGGAAGATCTGATGATTCCATTCTTTGGTTATTGGAAGCTCAGTGTGAGGTAGGGTTTTGCTCTTGCAGGAATAATATCCCTCTTTAACAGCCTGCTATCTAGAGTTCAATGGAATTTTTCTATTGACTGAAGTGGGCTTTGGATCAGGCCTTAGTTGAAGAGTATCAAATTAGATCTACCAGGATACAACTTAAGTCCTCTTTTATGCATTACCTGTGTATCTTGCTCATTACCTTCAAAACCTTACATGTTTTTCCACAACACTGTTAGCAAGAAATTGGTTAGAGAAGAAGGCGATTTTTATAGGGTAAAAATCAGTAGTAGACAGCTTTAGATTTTGTTTAGTCTCAGACAACATATGTAGCCATAAGTGCAAAGCAATTCAACCTCCAGAAGTTGATTTCATTTAATAAAGAAAAGGCAAGATCAAAGAGACCTAGAATTGAATCAAATAACTGTTTAACACAGTATTATAAGAGATCGCTTTCAAATTATTTTTAAAAAGGATAATAAATATTACACATCAGAATGCTTTTCAAAACCATGGATCTTTTAAAATGTAAAAACAGATTCTGATTACAGTTTATTTTGAAATGTTTTGTCTCATCTTGTTAATGAAACTGGTTTGATAATTACTCTTTCTCTGTCACTAACAGATAAATGTGGCTTCCTGCGAAGGAAAATGCCCCTCAGCTACAATTTTTAATGTCAATATTGATAGCCATTTAAGGTTCTGTAAATGTTGTCGTGAAAATGGAGTACAGAACCTGACTGTGCCACTATACTGCTCAGGAAATGGCACCGAAGTGTTGTATGTCATCCAAGAGCCTATAGACTGTTCATGCCAATGGAATTGAGCATTTGATGGATTCCACTGTGAGAACTGAAGTTGGCTTCCTATAATTGAATTGTATTTTTTGACATTGGACAGACTAATCCGATACTATATAGAAAAATATATTTTTATCATTAATGTTTCAGTCAACTTGGTTTCTTAACAAAATTAGTAGAAAGTGCATGAAAGTTTTACAGCAAAAACATTTTCAAGCATTGACAAATATATGTGTAGCAAGAGTGTCTTTTATATCAGATAATTAATTTGTCAGTTATTTACTTCTATCCAATTACTTTAAATTATGTTGCTGAAAACTAACTTGATTTTTAAAATTCAGTCTTGATTGAGTTGGGACATGTTTCTGCAAAAGGTAAATAACATCACAGAACATTAAGAGCTAGGACAGGTGGCTGTAAACAAACTTTATGGGACCACAGGAAACTTGGCTGCCCCCATGGTGAGTGGATGTCCAGCTAACTAAAATCATGCTGGACCAGAGAGTACCGGACTAGAGAGGTTCAACCTATATCACATATTTTTTAACATATTTTAATTGGCTAGAAGGAAACAAATATGAAGAGTAGTTCAAAATTTTGTTGCTTTTGTTAAAAATATCTGAAATAAATGTTTAAGTTTTTACAACTAGCCAGAGGAGAAATTGCTGGAGTGAGTTTCAGTGAATGCATATATACTTCTGTTTTCAAAAAGGAACAACATGTTTTCAAAATGAATTGAGGAGCAAGTCTGTTATGGTTTTACCTTTTGTTTCATTGGTTGAAATGCTCATGTTCAGTACTCTTTATTTACATAAAGTTAATTTAAAGGTTGCTTTAAAGGAATATTGAGGTTGGATACACTAGCTGAATCTAAGTCTCAAATAATTTGGAGTCAGGAAGAAACATACTCCCATTAAAAAGGATATAACATTAACTGTATGGAGATAATTGAAATTCAGATATATATTTAGTCTGTGGATGCACATGGTTCTGTATATCTGCTGCCAAATGTGCTCTCCATTTTCTTAACCACGAGCTATTTATCTTAATTCTTAATAATTGTTGATCCAGTATTTTGCCCATTTTCAGAAGTATTGCTTACCCTAGAAATTCACTGAATGAATTCCTGATATTATGGGTGGAATCCTGATCCTAGTGAATTCAAAGGCAAAACGTACTTTGGCTTTAATAACCGTGCTAAACATTCCATAAACTTTGAGCATATTAGATGGTTAACTAAAGTATAGCAATGTAAACATGGATTGGATTCAGATTCTCCCACAGGAGCAAGTCTTACTCATTTTATTCATGCAAACTTCCTAATGAAGTTATGTGCACAAAGCTATAGGGCTATGAAAATATATTTTGTGACAGATATTTTGTTGTTACTGAAATATTATACACCGGGACCTAGAACCAAAATGTGCCTGGTTAGTGCTGTAGGAGTTCATTAGCATAATTATAAATATAACTTACTTCCATTTGTTAGTCTATGCTAAAAGTTTGTGTCACAGTGCAATATATTGGAAGGAGAAATATTAAAAGAAAATTATCTTCAAGAGCCTTTGATATATAGAGATAGGAATCTTATTTTTATATTTTAGGACTATAACAGAGTTTAAAGAGAAGCTAGATAATTTCATGGAGGTTAGGTCCATAAAAGGCTATTACCCAGGGGATAGAAATGATGTCCCTGGCCTCTGTTCATCAGAGGCTGGAGAAGGATGGCAGGAGACAAATCGCTTGATCATTGTCTTCGGTCCACCCTCTCTGGGGCACCTGGTGCTGGCCACTGTTGGCAGACAGGCTACTGGGCTAGATGGATCTTTGGTCTGACCCAGTATGGCCGTTCTTATGTTCTTATATGCAGAGCGAATTGGACCCGTACTTAGAGTTTGCCAACTAATGCCACAAGTTTTAATATGATACAAGAGATTTAATCATGGAACACTTAATGGGGTTTGATTGAAATGGTGAATGATATATTTTATTTGTATACAAAATGGTTTTGTAACACTTAGCACTTATTTGTTATTAAAGTAATATCAATAAATATAATATTTTGAAAATCATTTGCATTACGAGTCAACACAATGTAATGTGTCAAAATACAACATAAGTCTTTGAAGTAACTCACATATTCCTATAAACATCAGCTATAACCCAAAGTTTTATGTAACACTAGATGTGTACAGACTTCTAAAGTTTTTTAATTGGTCTAATAAAATATGAACATCTACAACAAAATTCTCCATCAGTGGAGCAGGAGTTGGTCCAAGATTTATTCATTTATTTTTTATAATTTTACTTTGTTTGTAAATCACCTTGTAGTGCATTGAGTAATAAGCATTCAGAATACCACTCTGAAGGGGAAAAATTATTGGGTGTAATTGATTGGTGCAGGTGTCTCTGAAGTACTAAAGCTCCAGTTAGGGGCTCTGCTTTTGGTTTCATAGCTGATATACCTGTGTATCACCTGTGTGTCATGGAAAGGATCTCCAAGGCAGGCTCATTCTGTCACAAGTTTCAAAGGGGTAGCCATGTTACTCTGTAACTGGAAAAACTTACCATCTACATTATTTGTTGTTTATCATGATCTTTCGTGGGCAGCAAAATCATGTTCAGATGAATGGAGTTTTAGGGGTCCAGTTTTCTAATAAATAGCACAGAGAGGGGAGGGGCGGGAGAAGGGAAGATAAGGAAAAAGGGAAAATAAATGGTCAGGTAGAATGTCCGTGCTAAATGATGCTAAAAATATTTAGTACCCACTTTAAGTACCCTTTGTTTGTTTGTTTTTTGGTCGATGTGGAATGTAGCAGGCCATCCAGCCAATGTCTTTGTTTAGACTTCTGTTGTAGAAATCAAACTTTTAAATGAAATTAAATTCTGTAGACTCGCTGTCAAGCTGGCTTTTGAAATTGGTTTGAAATAATACGGTGACTTTGAAATCCATTAATGAGTGCCCAGGCAAGTTCTGTCGCAGACGGGCATTATGGAAATTATGCCATGTCATAATCTACATCTGTGTAAACCTAGTGGCCCCAGCTCTTTAGGCAATTGGCACAAAAGAGTTGTAGCCACTACTCAAGCTCAAAGGCTGAAATAGTGACTGAAAGAAGTAGGAGGTAGGATGGGGTGACTAGCAGCCATGTTACCTAGCGAGCTTGGATTTTGCTTTGCCAACAATTCTGCATTTCTTCCACATACATTTCTGCCACTGAGTTCAATGCATGCAGGATCAGGCCCTTTGTAAGTAAGAGTGCTGAGGAAGTAGGTAAAAGATACCATTCCAAAATGGTGAATAGGTACTCAAGAATTTGTAAATAAATTATAAGTTTTTAGAATTGTTTAGGTATGATATGCCTAAAAAGCATGATCATTTTCCATTGTTGATTTACTCCTAATTTTTCCAGCTTCTATACCTCAGAAACCTTAATTGTAAAGAATGGGGTTGGAAGGAACACACTCAAAATCCCAATTACAAATGGGCTACCATCCTGCAATGACAATGCCTTTCCAAATAACAGCCCCTTTTTGTGCTGTAGTGTTAAGTTTGTGCTGCTTGTGATCTTGTCCATTTTTCATCCTTTCATCTTAAAGAATATACTTTAAAATATATGAAATGGATGAAATCTAGTCAAACCACATAAAGCTTAAAGTATTCAGGCAGGGTATGTCTACACTACCACCCTAGTTCGAACTAGGGTGGTAGTGTAGACATACCCTGCCTGAATACTTTAAGCTTTATGTGGTTTGACTAGATTTCATCCATTTCATATATTTTAAAGTATATTCTTTAAGATGAAAGGATGAAAAATGGACAAGATCACAAGCAGCACAAACTTAACACTACAGCACAAAAAGGGGCTGTTATTTGGAAAGGCATTGTCATTGCAGGATGGTAGCCCATTTGTAATTGGGATTTTGAGTGTGTTCCTTCCAACCCCATTCTTTACAATTAAGGTTTCTGAGGTATAGAAGCTGGAAAAATTAGGAGTAAATCAACAATGGAAAATGATCATGCTTTTTAGGCATATCATACCTAAACAATTCTAAAAACTTATAATTTATTTACAAATTCTTGAGTACCTATTCACCATTTTGGAATGGTATCTTTTACCTACTTCCTCAGCACTCTTACTTACAAAGGGCCTGATCCTGCATGCATTGAACTCAGTGGCAGAAATTGTTCTGACTTCAGAGAATGGAGTATTGGCCCCAATTCTGCAAAACTATGCATTACAAGTAGTGTTTGTACTTTCATAAGTAATTCCATTGTGGTTTATAGTATTACTTATGAGGAAGAATTTGGGAGAATTAAACTTAAGATTGTCTACAAGTTTTTGTGTTACATTCTGGGCATCACACTGGTAAAAAAAAACCCTCAAAATGCTGAATAAAAGAAAAATTATGTTTGGGGAGTAGTGTTTTTGGATAAACTGGAATGTGCCACACACAGACATTAGGGCTTGAGAGAGAGAGAGAGAGAGAGAGAGATATCTATTGGTATCAGAGGTTTTCCACAGCAACTTAGATCACCTTTTTTGGGGGGGGAGGAGGAGTTGTTTGTGTTTGCTAATGAGATCTGGAGAACGCAGGCCAAATTTCTTATGTAGCAGAAATTCAGCTCAGATGGTTTACTCCAAAAGCTATGCAAGCTCTGTCTAAAATGTAACTCTTGTTTACTTCACAATTTCAGTGTTGTGTGCAGCTGTTAGAAAAATCTTATAGTGTAACATGACCCCTGAATATCTCACAATACAGAAATATTGCACCATATATGACAATAGAACCTGAAGATGTAACCACATAAGGAAATGTATGCCCAGAATTGTCCATGTTTGATAGGGATGCTTATTTTTACTTATACAGGTTTGGCCTTCCCTGGTCCCAAAGGACAGAGTTTCAGAGGGTAGCCAAGTTAGTCTGTTACAGAAAAAAACAACAAATGGTCTGGTAGCACTTTATAGACTAACAAAACATGTAGATGGTATCACGAGCACAGCCCACTTCTTCAAATGACCGGAGTTATGAGTAGGGGATATGAAAACTGGAAATAAATAGGAGAGGGGAAGAGAAAGGAAAAAGGAAAAGTGTGGAGTGGGGGTGGGGAAAGGAAGAGAACAAGGCATCATTAAGTATGTGGAGAATGGGTACTTAAACCTAAGCAGATAAAGATCAAAGTCAATAGATAGATTGCTGAGACAGGGAGGTCGGGCTGCTGACAAGACTCTGGGCTCTCCTGAGATCTGTCAGCAAATTGCCAGGCTCCCAGCTCCTCAGACAGACCTGTGGCTGCTGGGGCTCCACATCCCCAAGGCTGCCAGACTCATCTGCTCCAGGGCCACCCTGAGCTGCGGCGCTCAGGTCCAGGGGCTCTCTGATCCAGCAACAATCATGGTCCTGCTGGACCACAAATGATGTAAGACAAGAGAGTGCTGGACCAGAGAGGTTCAACCTGTATTTTGATTCATCTAGCAGTTTGCATATTCAATTTTTGAGTTTGTAACTTATCTATTTTGAAATTAAGACTTTATTTCAATGGTTATTGAACAGAATCAACTACCATTTAAAAAAAAATTATTTTTGGAAGGCTGGGGTGCTTAGGAGGAGATTATTTTTGGAACACATTCAAATCAGGACCATATGCAGGGGGGTGCAAGTGTCAGGCTCAGCGCTCATCCCCACCATTGCAGTGGGGAGCCTGTGCTGGTGTTCCAGTCTTGCCCCCCATGGGGTTGGAGTTCCCGCTGGGGGAGAACAAAGCCTCGAGCCTTGTTGCGTGATCCAGCACTCCCACACACACCACTCCTGCACCCACCCTTGCTCCTGCACTCTCCCTCCTGGCCACCATTGCACTTTCCCTTGCCTTGTCTCCTTCCTGTGGCCAGACACCTGTCAGCCGATGGTCAGGGCAGTGAGTGGTGTGTGTGTGTGTTATACACCCGAAACTTCAACTGCTGAGACTGGGGTCCCTTCACAACGGGCAACCTGGAGAAGGTTGACAGGCGCTCCAAGAAGTTTACAGGGAGAGCTTATTACACCTCAGATTTCAGCTGCTAGGACACAGGATCCCTTCGCAGCAGGCAGTCTAGGGAACACTGAGAGATACCCCAACGGATCTGTCAGCTGGGAGTGACATGATCCAAAACGCCCAAGCTCTTCCTATACCTGTCCCTTATGACCGGCTGAAGTTCTTTTAAATTGTGCTTGGTTCTGTTACAGCAACTGAAGGAGTCAGGTTAAAGCTTAAACAGTTACTATTTTATTGTTACAGGGTAAACTTAGCTGTTAAATGCTACTACTGTGTTACAGATAACACAGCCTCTACGAAGGACAGGACAGAAATTACACTAATAAGTCACTTACAGATACCATGAAACCCTTTTGGTTCTCTGAGCTCTTATTAAATGCATGCAAAATAGACACCTAGCAGGTATATATTCTCACCCCTGCGTTCCAGACTTGGCGTGGCCAGCGTCTTTCTCTCAATCCCTCAGGAAGAAGTAGGGCGAGGTTGGGCGTCCCACGGACCTCGGGAGACAATCAATACCTGCCAGCAGGTATAGATGATTGGAGCTCAAATGGGGTGGGCAGCGGAACCTCTTTTATACCCCTTGTGTCATGTAGGCTTCTTCCTGATCTCAAATGGCCAATTAGGAAAAATGGCTTTGAACACCAAGT